AATAGAAACCTTAAAGAGCTGTGATTTTACATTAATGAGGTCAGAACTTAGAAAAGGAGAGTGAAAATGATTGTACAACTCAAGACTGTATTAGATGTTGCTAAATTGTGTATGTTGAAACTATTGAATTGGTGTATATTTTGCTATGTATATGCTAAGCAACATAAATAAATAAGTAAAATTTAAAGAAATAAGGAAAGAAAATGCCATAAAGTGCTAATAGGGAGTACAGGCTGTCCCAGGGTTATAAGCATCTAATTTATACACAACCTGTATGTAACCAAACTGTCTCCTAAACCCATTCTATTAAGTATTCCTGGTACATCCATCCAATGTTTGTAATAAGAAACAGATGCTACTTTGAGACTGCATATATAGTCATTATTATAACTACTACATTATTATGTTAAATAATTTTTTGTTGTATCTGATAGTATTTCTTTTGTATTTTGGGGATTAAAAAAATTCTTCTTGTGTACCATTGAATTGGATCCAATCGGCACAGATTGCTCCTCCTTCTCCAGTGAAGCAGCTGGTGGATTCGAACTGTGTACCTTTGAGATTGCAGGGCAGCTTTTTGCCACTAGGCCACTTCTTTAATGTTTTTATGCATAGAAAAGTACAGTATATATTATATAAGACAAACATCTTGCTAAATTTTTAACTTCTGACTTATGTATAAGTTTTACTTAAAAACAGATTTAGGAATGAATCTAGTTCATAATGTTGTAACTATCTGTCTTGTAAGGGAGTGTGTGTGTGGGAAGGGTGGTGGTGGTGGTGGAAAGGCCTTGTTAAAGAGAAGTTTTGTTAATCCATGACTTTAATGTTCATCTGGTCATGTTATCCAAAAGATAAGCTTTTAGCTTTCTTCATATTTAAACAATCCCTCTCACTAAAGTAGTTCTTATTTACAAATCTTAGTTTATGACAGTGAATACAATGTTATGCCCAAAGATAGGAGGCATATGGAGGGACACTTCCTACTGGGTGAGTGGTGTCCACTTATTTGTGACACAAATGAAATTCTTTGAAAAATAGGTGTCACTGACAGTTTGAATAGAGAAATGTGAAAAAGGGAAGTGAAAAATGTGAGAAATAGATGGAGGAGGAATTTCCATACTCAGCCTGTCTATGCATTGTTCCTAATCCACACTTACAAATACTTTCGTCCTAGATATAGCTTAGAGCTCTGAAACCATAGTCTACATAGTGTACATCTAATTTAAAGATGTTGAATTTCTGGAAGTTCAAATCCACCTGCAACTCTGTAGGAGAAAGGTAGTCTTCTCCCATTACCTGGTTGATGAGATTTTCTTTTTGAGATACTCAGTTCTTAAACTTGTCATAATTGGAGGCTTGGGTGCAGGTTTAAAGTGAGGGGTGGAAACCTTCCAAAAACAAACACATCTCCCTGTGTGTATTGCTAGAGACAATCAGAAAGAATAATCATTCATCTAGTAAAAAGAGTGCAGGTGGTGTAGAAGCAGGCATGTCTGATTTTCTCTAAGTCCACAAGGAGAAATTGTAACCATCAACATCCACAAACCAATTCCCATGTGGCCAGACATATCCTGCTGCCCCACACTCACCACATTTACTTCTATCAATTGTAACATCAACTGTCCCTTGCAGGGCTCTTGACTCTTCTACTTTGCGTATGCCAATCCTTTGCAATGGCTACAGAGAACTCACAGAACTGTACTCATGTTTATTAATTTATTAGGGATATTAACAAGTTGGAAACAGGATGTAATTCAGTCAGAACAGCTTCTCAGTAAGTCCTCCAAATAAGCTTGGACAAAGGTCTCTGGATGTGGCTCTGTGGAGTAGTGATTCCATTTCAGCTCTGTCTCATGATCTTTGGTTTTCCCCCAAGTCTTGGTCTTTATGACACAGGATTTCTCTTTTTTTT